GCACATATATATATATGGCTCCAATACATATATATGTACTGGAGCCATGTTGTACATAACAGTATATATGTATATATATATACATATATATATACATATGTATATATATATGCTGAAGTTTTTATGCATCCAGTATATATATATATATGTACTGGAGCCATGTTGTATATATAATGTACACAGTGCATATACAGAAGCGATGTTGCTGTTAAGTTGGCATCTTATACAGATGACGCAGTAGAACCTATAAACGTACACAGTAGATACTCACAGAACCGAGAAAACATCAGTTGTCACGATTTCTGTCGTGTAATGTACTGAGTTGCTTGTATATAATACACAGCGCATGCACTGAAGCTATAATGGCGCTATGTTGTTGGTATGTTGTACAGATCCAAATATAAAGTATAGCATCTATATATGTACTGGTTGACAACTATTTGGAGGAGCGGACCATCTGGTATAATGCACTTATGTTATATAATATTGTTTGATTTCTTGGCCCGGGCGTTCCAATCGACTGAGCAGGTGCTGCGGCCTGTCACGTCGAGTCTTCGACTTCTCGGCAATTACTGGAGCAACGGGTTCCTCGTCTTTCGTAAGTCGTCCTGGTCGACGCACTTCATGAAATCGACACTGGTCGATCGACGATACCCGACGGGATCGACACTATTTTACAACACAAATACAGCGACCTTATACAGGCCGCTTTCGCGTCAATACACAACTTACCTAGGAGGGAGTCATGGTGCAACATCCCCCTCCGACTACAGAGATCGCGCCTGATCTTTCTAGCCAATATGCAATGCTCAAAATTAAACTTATTAACCACAACATACAAAATTAAAAAACAAACTTCAAACAAATTTTTTTTCACATGTTTATCACGGCCGGTCGCCATATCCATATTACCATTCGCGCGTCATTCGTCTCCGAATATACGGCGGTCAAGCTCGCCCTTGCTGTGGTAAGTTGCGATATGCATCTGGCCACCGACGAATCCTCACATGCGTCCTTTCGTTATTCTGACGTTGCTCCGCTCTCATCGACCTCGATACTATAGGTTTTTCCATACTGCTCCGCGTGCCTGTTCGGCACGCTATCATTTGTACGTCCTTGAGTCGGCTTTTGATTGAGGCATTGTAGAGATACTGCAAACCTGAAATTAATTTTTCCGTGCCTGCTGGCGTTATTAGTCTTTGGCGGCTGTATCTAGCTAAGGCAGCCTTTTGTTTGATAAGCATACTGGTATTCCGATCATTGCTTACTAAAATTTCCACATCCGGAGCATCGACCCGTACCAGTCCTTCCTGTGCCCCTTTTTTCATCGGTTCTTGCATACCGTAGCTGTCCTGGTTTTCCGATATTGTGCATGTGACTTAGTTAACATTTGCGGAAACACTGTATGTTTTCTTCAGCTTACAATCCTGGGATTTTTCAGCTGGTCTTCCATAATTTTCATCATTTCTTTTCGCCATTTCTTGCATGCACCAA